GTCCAGGGCATGGCTCTACTGTGGAATCTGGTTTTCCCATGCGGTAGGTCTGGACCGGGTAGGAGCCGATGGCGGGCATTGACCTATTGGTTCAGGCGATCTCGTGATTCCCTAGAAGAATGTGGCCACCGCGGGCCATTTCTAGGGTGAGCTCGCCATGAGCCATAGGCCTTTGGCTTCCTAGGTGGAAGTCTTGGCCCTGGCCAGTGATGAGAGAGGGTATTAGGCCCCCTACATCAGTGAACTCTGGGATGCAGCCCTCAAGGGCAGTTCTGGGTGTTCATCTACCATGGATCACGGGGTCTAGACCTCCAGAGTGGATGTCCGGACCATAACTGAAGGTGGAAGCGAGCGTTGGCCCTTTGGTGTGGTTAACAGTGTGGTTTTCCCAAAAGGATGTGGCCGGTCGAGGCCATTCCCCGGGTGAATTCGTTACGAGCCGTGGACCTTTGGTTTCCTGAACAGGAGACCTAGCCACGATCGATGATGAGTGAGGGTACTGGCCCCACTGGGTAGGTGAACTCTAGAATGTAGCCCCCGAGGGTAGTTCCGAGAGTGTGCCCATCGTGGACTGCGGGATCCAGATCTCTAGGGTGGAGGTCCGAGCCACGACTGAAGGAGGACGAGGGCGCTGGCCCTTTGACACCGACGAACTCATAGTTTTCATGGCAGATGTGGCCGTCGTGGGCCATTCCATGAGCGAGTCCACCTTCTCAACAATCAAGAGTGCGTGACTGTCCCCAACCTGGCGCACCAACTATCGGTGTTTCGTAAACCAGACTAGTAAACTTATATGATTGCCACGTTGCTCTAGAAAGATGATGGTAGCATCCAAAAGACATGATGATTTAAACTGGTTTAGGCTAGAGCCCTACATCTAGTCTCAGAGATGATCACGTGCGTGTTCCTGGCTTGAATGCTCTGAAGTTCTTACAATGGGGGGTGCAAGAATGGTGGAAGAGGAAGAAAAACCTATGCTAGGCGATGGGCTGCCCGAAGGGAAGCTTCAAAAGCCCTGCTACGATGGAGAGTGAGTGAAATGAGTAGGGGACTCAGAATGTCTAGAAAGGGTGCCCTGGTTGCCCTTATATAGAGTTTGAGGCCAAGGCACATACAAAGCAGGAGGTTCTCCCGACCGAAGGGTCATGAGCTTGAGGGAGGGCCTAGCTAACTTAGATTGCAAGCTACGCCGTCTTGTGGAGCACATCTGGGTGTGGCTGTCATCATCGTCTTATGGACACATCGTGACATGGTGTGGCGTGGTGCTACGCCAGCCATGGCGGCACTATAGGCACGATGGTGGTTCGCTAGCCGTCCTGTGCGACGTGGTCTCCATCGGGGTCTTCATCATCATCTCCTGGTTTCCTGGGGCACCGTATAGGAGTTGGTGGCTGCCCCTGGGTCGTGGATCACCTTGTTGTCTTGAGGAATGGGGGCCACGACCCCTGTCGCTAGGATCGTGGTTCCCGCCAGCCTGTCATGGCCCTCGTCGCGGATTCTGACCCATAATGGGTAGGATCGTACTCTTGTTTCGTTGAGCCATATTTGGCTGGTGGTCATCATATCTGTCGTCACCTCTTTAGAGTAGTATGGTCTTGTCTATGTGGCATGGCACAGGGTTGGCGTCTGATCGGACCGAGGTGACTGCTGTCCCCTCGGCCCTTGCGAGGTCAGTGTGTCGTGCATGTCCTTGTCAGAACAGGCATACTTGGCGGGGCTCGACCTCTCCCCGTCCCTTCAGGAGTCATGACGGAGGAGAGGTCTTGTGTCCTCGGGGCACCGTGCGGCTAAGGCGGGAGGAAGGGGTCGCAGCTAACCCTACCCTTAGCGTTTTGGCCTAGTTTGTTGGACTTAGCTAGGCCTCGGTCGTTTGGGCTTTCGCTAGCTGGTGTATTGCGGGCTGCGTGGCCTGTTAACTAATCGGTGCCTTGAGACACCCCGGGGTTATAACCCCGACAAATAGCAATGTTACATATATGCACTAGACACCACTAACTCCTGCCTTGCTATCTAGGATGAAGAAAAATGGTGCTCCTTCATCCATTGGGTCAATGAGGAGTGGTCCGACCGCACGTAGATGTATTTGAAGGCGATGTGGAATTATGTTCTGAAGGACATAAGGGCTCAGGACAGCCTATTGAGGACCATGAGGATGTAATTATTCAGCATCATCAAGTGGTGGTGGAAAAGAAGCCACTGTATATGAAGTTAAAAGGGCCTCCAAGATGCAACAGATGTAAGCTATCTTTTGGTTTTTAATAGCAAAGTTAGGTATATATGCCATGTAAATAGGCTAGATGTAAGGCAGGGCCCTTTAAACTTGTAAGGCTATGTTGGGTCCTCATATATGCCCTCACTATTGAAAGGGCCTTAGGATAGATAGAGGGAGTGAATAGCCTATAAAATTCTTTCAAAGGCACAAAGAAAACTAGGCACACAATTAGTAACAAATGTAATCCTTAATAAGCATTATGGACCTAGCCTAAAACCAATGCAAGCGCTCCTACAAAAGTCTAGTTAACAAAGCGCCAAAGCAACAAACCAAGCACTATCAACTACTAGCAAAGAGCACAAGCATGAGCTAAACAACTACTCAAGCAAGAACTAGAGAGCTACTTGAGTACTTGCAAGAACAACTACACGTCAAACAAGGTAGAGCAACCAAGCTACTCAACTAGAACTAAGAACAACTACTGGATCAAGCTAGCAACAATAGCAACCACAAGGCTAACAAGCAAGCTAGCTAAACAACTACACAAGCAAGGATTGCACAAGTAAAAGAGCAAGTGCCCAAGACAATGGAGAAAATGATTTTTTGTCCAAGGTTCAGTTACTTGCCGGCAACATATGTCCCTATTGAGGCGACTCCAAGGATTGGCACTCCTTCGCAAGCTAAACAAGCCCTCAAGCTTGGCCCCTATGTGGGTGCTCTCGTATGAGCTAGTCAATGATCACCGGAGAAGTCACCACCAGAGGAATAACGGTCAGATCCCACAGATATATTTAGATAGTCACTAGGTGATGGACCAATGCATTCTCTGGCACTCCACTGAGGCAACCGCTAGAGAAATCCGATGGTTGCCTGTAGCCAAGATGCGTTGCGCACAAACTCTGCTAGTGGTTTCCTCCGGTGACCCCCAAGGGTACCACCAGAGAAATCTGGTGGGTTTGGAAACCTTCTACACAAGGTTTTTGACACCATCGGAATACTCTGGTATCCCCAATATCAGACCACCAGAGAAAGGGCTTCTCCTTTTAAACTTCCTGCGCACACACAGATCACCGCCACATGCCCCCCCTCTGGAGCCTAAGCTCTGGTGCTTATAAGCACCACCAAATAAATATAGTGGTCCAACAATCAGTGCAAATAGGTTAAACAAACAGGGGTCAGAAGATGGAGCCTAAGCTATGGTGCTTCCCTACCAGGGGCATCGGATAAATCTGGTGAGTGCAGAAACCCTACACTAAGCCCTTCTCTCAAACACCTTTTCAAATGTGCTAACTCCCAGAAATGTACTCCATTGAAAACAAACACCTTTAAGCACTTGAGTTAGCATTTTCAAAACAATTTTTCAAACATTTCACTTGCTTCGTCCTCACAACGTCACTATGTCTAATACATATGCCATGTTAGTCCTCACCTAGTGGCACTAGATAACTCTAATTTCTTTAGAGTTCTCTTCTTAATAGTACGACTATCTATCTTAAATCCAATAATCATGCACTCTATTGCACCTTGGCCGGCGAAACTAAAACCCTATGAGGTATACATTATCCTTTGGGCTTGTTTCCATCTCCAACTCCTTTTCATCCAACTTGAGCACTTGATCACTTCATGGCCATCACCATATCCTCCATGGTTGCTTTCCTGCTCAACACTTGGTGTGGACTATGCCTAGCTTAATCAACACTTAAGCACAATCATTATTAGTCCAACCAAACTAGGGTTTTCAGCAGCCATTAGGGTTTGGGAACTTGAACTCAACCATGGTGGTTAGGGCCCTGGATCAGAAATGGCTCATGGGAGGCTTGGTAGAGAGGAGTCAAGGAGGAGGGTTGGGGATGGCTCACTAGTGCAAGGAGGTGCTCTAGGTGCAGTAGCTTGGCATGGGGTTTCTCAAGGAGGGAGATCCGCTTTAGGGCACTGCCATGAATTGAGGAAGAAGAAGAGCTTGGGAGAGGGTTTGTGGATGAACGTTAGCAAGGACAACATGGTGGACAATGTGCTCCTCTGGCTATGCTTCGGCAAGGCACTCTTCTTCTTGCTCTCTTGTCTCTTTCTCTATTATGTTGTTTTGGGAGAGGAAGGGAGTGAGAGTGAAGGGAAGGGCTGGTGTTGGTTGTGTGAAGGTAGTAGGGCTAGGGCGGTGTGTGTGACACCTCACATTTGGTGGATCATCTGGGAGTCACGGTGGACCATTCGCCTGCACTAGTCAAGGTGGGGCTGACGTGGACTTAGGCGGTTCGTCGGTTTGGATTTTTGGGTGGGCTTCTTGAGGTCGACTAATTTCGATAAAGAGTACATCTACTTGGGACCAGACCGAGTATAACGAAAAATAAACCCGCTGGAATACTGGATCTGGGCCCAAATTATAGGAGCAATACAGCTGAACTAGTGTTATTAGGCTCTTGGCATCGAGTGGAGTGGCTCAGTCGCGGTCGTGGCCCGGACTGGTGGCATTTCCAATTTGCCATTCGGATGCAAGCCTCGTGCTCTCGTCTCCCTCAGCAACGCTTTGCGAGATTTTCATCTGGTGATCACATACGCATGCATGAACGAAATTTATGATAAAATAAGCACAGTTTCACCCAAATTCAATTTGCATTGCACTTGATATTACAGCTCCGAGACCGTCAGCAAGCAATAAGCGGCCTCACGTCAAGCATGCATCTAAAAGCTCGAATCAACAAGAGAGACGACACCGTACACATACACGTTATATACCACCCCCCGGCCCTGGCGCCCTGCAACTGCATGCAACGCGCGCGCGCGCGAGCTCTCAGTTGTGGCAGACCTTGGCGGTGGGCATGGTGACGCAGATGGGCGCGTACTTCTTCGCCTCGGGGCTCCCGTTCTTGGGGTCCGCCATGGCGGAACCGGCGCCGCCGATGGCTGCCACGGCCGCCGCAGCCGCCGCGAGCATGACGGCGCGGCGCCCCTCGGCGGCCTCCTCGGCCGCCGCCGCCAGCCTGGCGCTGGCGGGCTCCTGCTGGCAGCGGTCGGCCATGGTGGCCCTGACCACGGCGAAGCTGCCGCGGCGCGAGGGCGCGGCCACCGCCACGGCGGCGAAGGACGCCATCATGGTGAGCGACGCCATCGCTTTGCGCTGGGGCTGCTGGTGGCGACGGTGGTGGACTGGTGGTGCTGGGTGTGGACGTGGATTGCTTGCGCTTTGTGGAAGAGCTTTTGGCGGCGGGCCAGCACTGCATGGTTGGTTATGAAGCTGCGGTCCGGAACGGAGAGGGCGCCTTATCCCGTGTGGGGTGAGCGGCCACTGGGCTGCTGCCATGTGGCCTGGCGGCGTGACGTGGCGGGGGCGAGGGCGCGGGTGCTGGATAACGCGAGGGTGTGGTGGCCTGGTGGGAGATGATAACGAACGGGCGGACCGCATGCTTACTGGACTGAGCCGTTGCGATCGGGATCGGGGCCCATCATCAGCTGTGGCTGGCCTAGTGAATTCCCACCAGTCATTCATTCATTGATCTTGGTTCAAGAGAACCTATCAGTAGTAGCTGATAAACATTACATTTGCTGTGTATAGGGAGGATCGGAATTACATTGCTGAAGTAAACATAGCACACCAACCCTGTTTCAGCGAAGCGAACATGGCCCAAACGTCTCCTATATGCCCTTGTCCCCCTTCGGAAATCATTGTGCCCAGAGCTTTGCTTCAGCGTTGCAAACTACCATTGTGCGTCTGAGGTTAGCCGCATCGTCTCTGAAGATCACGTCGTTCCTTCGCTTCCATAGTCGCCAACAGCAAAGGGCAACAAAGGTTCTGAAATGCTTACCTGAGATGTGTGGTGGACAGATCAAAGTATCTAAAGATTCCAGCAACGGTTGTAGTGTCCGTTGGCATGCTGATCCCAAGTTTAGACCAGAAAAGTTCAGCAAAGAGGCACCCAGCAACTATGTGGCTTGCTGTCTCATTCAGTTGTTGACGGATCTCACAGGTCGGACTATCCACGATCATCTTTCGATGGAGATTGACCCTGCATTGCACCCTTTCCTGTGTCAGCAGCGAAAGAAAGAACTGAACCCGGGGAGGGACGTGGCTTTTCTATACTTTGCCTTCAAACTTTCCTTGCCAGTAGGCAGAAGGGGCCACGGCGCCGCGCCGGTCCCTGACTCCCTGGTGACCGAGAGGACAGTAGACTGAATGATGCTGCCCAGCTCCGTCAGTTCCGAAGTCGCCCGAGGTGAGTCGTGGTCGTGGCACCACGAACTGGGTATCCTGCACTTCAAAAAGCAAAGAGACCTGCGCCACCGTACTGTTCTTCTTACAATGGCCACCGATCTGCCTGAGGTGCAGGGCTGGAAACCGATCTGCCATGGAGTCATCATTATGCCAGGCGTCATACCAAAAAGAGGTCTCCTCCCATCGCCGATGTCCACCGTGGTGACAGCTTTGTATGCCTTTTAAGCTCGAGCGATTGCTTCATCAATTTCAACCCTGAGATTTTGTTGCCTCGCGTAATAATCACTCAAAATAGTTACCCTTCCTAAAAGAACTAACATAGTTATAAATGATGTACGTAAAATCTGTTTCAGGCTGTAAGTATGCAAATGAAATTAGCACAAAAATTTGACACCAAGGTCCATGTACAAACTACAAAATCTAAGCTACAAAATTTGGGCCAATTGCTAAGCTACAAAACTTGGGCCAAAAATGAAAGCCGACCCAAAAATGAATAAAGAAAAAGATGAATGTATTTGGATCTGTAAATAAACTGAATAATTTACATAACTTTCCGCGCGGTTAGTTGCCGAGATGAGACCAAGATATCTCGTGTGTATATATTTGTGAGGGCAAAAAGCAGCAAAACGAAGACTACTTGGGCGCTCACTATTCCGAAATGGCTAATGCTGTTGCCAATCTCCATCCAACTACCGGTATTCCGTACCTGTGGGTAAAATGAACAGGATATTCAGTACATTATTTTTTGTTGAAGCAGGAAGTCCACATTGAACACATAAGACTAATGTACATCAGAAAATGAAATACAAAACAACTTGGTGCAGTTACAGCTTCAAATTTTCCAATGATGCAATCACACATAGCCCTGTTCGCTTAAACTTATCAGCCGTACCATTTCAGCGAAATAACAGTGTTTTTCTCCCACAACAAATCGGCATCGGCATCGGCCGTTTTTCCAGCCAGCCGAACAGGGCCATACCGTTTCAGCGAAATAACAACTAGTTTGCTACTTTACTCTGTTAGCATATAGCAAACTATGGCGTCCAGGACATGGCAAACCAAACAAAATTTACCCACTAATGGACAAAATTGAAAGAACAATTATACAGCAACTAAATATGGTCAAGGCCATGGAGCATGTCTTTTTTCTTAAATGTAAAATGCATGAAATTAGGTTATGAATTATAGAAGGGAAAAGGTGTACATACCAGGAAAAAGAAATGAATAGTCATTACATCTGAAAGCAGTATTACAAGAAAATAACAGCCCAGCCGTGGGATGCGGACAACCTTGGTAATCGCACTAAACGTACATCTGCAGTTGTCACCAAGGTCAGCTTAATGAAAAGTAGCATCAAGTTCAACGCAAATTAAAAGAATATACATAATTAAGGTAAGGTGTTATAGAAAAATGTCCAAAGACCTAACGTTTGGGGGAAAACCTCATCTTTACATTTATTTGTTATAGCTTGTTAACCTAAGCATGAACTGCCTTTTTTTTTTTAGAATGCAAGAACTGCCAAATTAATCTTGAAGTTGCTCAACAGATAACTATGAGGAGAGTATATAGACAGTCTATATAGAGATATCAAAATGAACATTAAATTACAAATGGATTGTTGCCTATTTTTATCTTTCTATAGCAGAAGATGACCTAATTTGTGACAAGAACTTTCATTAAAGACTTACATGACAAGCATGAACGGAATGAACAACTTAAAGATAAGAAGTCCTGCCATAAGAAATGGCTGCCAAGAGAAAAGAGAAAAACATTAGTGTCTAGAATAATAATAAGTAAAAGGGTCATTCAGAGAAATATAACATATAAACTTACACTAAATACTGTAATGAATCTGTACACAGACGAGATCTCAAAGCTTGCAATACTTGCAAAATTACCAGTACCAAAGAAGGCGACATTAAATAAGATCACCTGCAAGACAGAAAGATACCATTAGTTACACTATTTTGTTTTCTGCTAAAACTACAACAATAGTGCTCTTAGTTTCTATTGATAATAAATGATTGGATATTTACAAACAAAATACATATATGCATATAGTGGAAATATGGAATATAATGCAAGTATGAAGATAGCAATACATTCTGAAAAGAAAAAATTGTCAGCACGAGACGAGTATCCAATACATGCATTGATCGTAGTTTCTTGTTACATGTTATCCAAAATTATTGAATGTATAACCATATGGAAGCAGGAAGCATTTTTTTGGTTATAAATATACCAATATCATTTCCTTGTGAAACTAAATATGTTTGTGCATAAAGTTCTCAGAGTCCGACTTCACATATTCTACAAAACTTCTTCAGAAATCAGAATAGAGGGAGTAGCTTCGATTGGTCATCCCTATTTCAAATGATTTAGCATCTTTGCATAATTAATCCTGGAGGATTATCTAGAGTAAATATAATCTAATGCCTACTCTGCCATATAAAAAATAATGCATTGTATCCAAGAGCTTCCGCACCTCTATAGTCCATAAGACAAATGGAAATTATCAGACTTACAAATAACAGAGGGATTCTTAAATCAGATAGTCGTAGGTGTCTTTCTTCATAGCCAAAAACTGAGTCATCCGCAAGGCTTCTGCGACGTGCAGAACCACTTTCTGAGCGATACAGGTTGGCAGATTCCACAAATATCCATCCAATGAGTACCATTGCAAAAGCGCTATAGAAAACTGCTTCATAGCTGTGAAGATTTAACAAAATTTGAACAATCATTTTCATGTTAAGAGCTCAGGCACAGCAAAAAGAAAATGATGTATAAACTACAGCAGAAGGTAACAGCATACCCAATAGAAAGCAGCAGAAATGGAGGAGCAAAACCCAAGAAGATAGATGTAAGACGGGATAGAACACTAGGTGGTGAGAAAAGAGGTAGCACCATAGCAACACCTGCAAAATATATGACATGTTAAAACAGTAGAACCATAAAGCTCACAAGTTCAGGATGAACAATCAAACAGGATGAACAGTTGAACATTAGGCTTGGCTTCAAAAAGAATGTCATATTTAAAGGGCACAACAAGATTTCCAATGGACAAAGCCCCAAAATGACGTAGACCTGTTAAAGTTTAGAATGTTTCCACCTGGGGCTACAGGCTTAACAGGTATTCCCCAGAGGCCAGAAGCGGGGACCAATTTTCCATTTTGCATCTTTTCTCTGCACAGTTATTTCTCTGAATGTGTGCCAGTACAACTCACTTTATATTTCCATTAAAAAAACAGTAACCAAAAAGAGGCTATGAATTGTAGGATAGGAAAATTATTATTTTATATCCTTTTCATAATTCAGTGGATGATACATTTATTACAACAATGTCAGCCAACTTTACAGGCCATTGATAGTATTCAGAAGGTTTCAGAAAAACGGCTGTGTGTGGAGCCCAAACTGATTTTAGAAAATATGGTTATCAGTATTCAGTACTGTAACCAACCTTTATCAACATATTTCATTATAGAACAAAAGGCAAAGAACCAGAGCTCCAATTACAAATATACATAAGGATGCTAAGGGAAAGATCCATCAGAAATACAAGAAAAGCATTTTAAGGACCTTGAACATTTTTTATTCATTTTATTTACTACCACTCAATATTGTTTTTTTGAAAGAGCTACCACTCAATATTGTGAGTTTTTTAAGCCCAGGCAAAGGATTAAATCAAGGCCACAGTTCAAAAATTGCCAAATAAGACCCAGCGTCATTCTTGCCACTCAAGTCCAACCATTGGTGGACCTTAGAGGTCCTAACCACGGAGCACGAAGTCCCAAAACACATAGCTCCCCTTGGGGAATCCTTTAAATATTTACCTAAGTCCATCAGTCCTTGGCAGACCATACATTTGCTCCAAGACGCAGGCCTCTAAGTAGAAAAGTAAATGTCTGGGCTTGAGTAGCTCCTGGCCCAGTGGGTCTGTAAAACTCACTTGGACAAGATGTATTTTTGAACCAGACAAAACAAGAAGTGTTAAAACCAAAAACAGATCAAGAACCTAAACTACAAGAACCTAAACTATAAGACGAGTAAGCTCCGCCAGACCCTTGGATTGATGCAAACATAAGCATGTGTACATAGACTTACTACATACAAAGGCTAGCTGTGTGTAGGCCTGTAGGGTTTAGACTAGTAAGTTGTCGCTTTATAGTTAAAAGAAGACACGATGTATAAACAAATCAGATATCACCATAAAACTGAAAGAGAGGATCCAATGACACTGTAGACAATTAACAACACAAATAACAAATCAGTGACTTACCAGCTACAGACCAATTGATCAACTGGTGCAGTGAGTGCAATTCTCTGTTCTGGGACCGATGTGAGGTAGATAGCCACACCATTATCGAAGATATTGCAACTAAAATAACCTAAAACATGATAAACGGTTGAAAACAATGACTCAAACTTGAACTTCCAAGAAAGAAATGCCAACCACAGGATATAACTATTTGAGTTCTGCACCTGAATAAAATACAGTTTAAAGGATTGAGGATCCTGTTTATTTGCTCGAGTGAGATATAGCCAAAAGCTGGAACTATTCGATTTAATCCATCTTGAAGCTAATCCAATAAGTATTATGAGCCCTCCACTAAAAATTCTGCATATAAAGAATTCATCAGACTAAAAGCTACAAGGAAACAACCAATTAAACAATATTTGATAACATCTAGATGGCTAGCAGATTCTTAAGAAATCATGAATGACACATAACAGCATTAAACGGTATTACTATATATATGTAACAGCTTGTTCTCTACTGGCACAGGTTAAAGTGTAAGGGAAAAAATGCATGAATCCTGTCAGCTTGTTCTCTACTGGCACAGGATAAAGTGTAAGGGAAAAAATGCATGAATCCTGTCAGCGAAAGAAGCATACACCAAGTTGATGTTTTCTGGAATTTCAGCTGGCATCAAAGTGAATACAGACAGGAACCAGCAAGCAAGCCATATGTATATCGCAAGTGCAGGGCTAGCTTGAATAAACAAGGCTACATAAGTTGAACCGAGTATCCCAAGGACCAAGAAGCACCACGTATAAACTTTCCTATCAAAGAAGCTCATAACCTGCCCACAAGTATCAAATTTCACATCAAATCTCATGAAGTCTTAAAATGATTGCTGTGTCAACAAGTGGGTACATACCAGAAACTCCAATACAAGCAGTGCAACAACTGAACTGGTCAGGACATTAAAAATGTACTTGAAGGGCTTATTAGCTAGTTCTCTCCATACGGCCTTCAAAAATTCAAAGTTTTGTACAATTCTTGTCCAAAGGAATATTGTCATAAATACATAAGCATGGTAAAGAAGTGGTAATTTCTCTAGAAGTAGTATAATGGATGACAAACCCATAAAGAAACATCCACCAATGTAAACCTGAAACCAGAGGAGATAAAATCAAATCGTCTTAACTATGTCACCATCCAGTTCAGCATGAAATTAATGGAGTAGTTGTCAAATTTTGATGAGCAACTTTGATTGCACTAAAATTAATAGTATTAAGGCTCATCTACTGTAGGCCCATATGGCCCATGAGGCTCTATATATATACATAGCTATCCCTCTATTGGGACTATCTTCTGAGATCCCCAAGGTTAGTAACATGGTACCAAAGCCAACGACCATGGTTAGGGTTAGACTAATCTAATCCACCAACGATCCATTTTTTTTCCCGCTTGGGATTGGGATCTCATCTGTTTTGTCGGTGCGGCACGTCGTCGCCCCGTCCGCCTATCTCCGTTGAAGCCATCGCTGCATCGGCAATCTGCTCCGTTCGGTTCGGCTGCATCATCCGCGGGCGCTTGTTCTCGGCCGATTGCGCGCACATCCGAGCTGTCGATTGTCCACGTGCCCGTCCGCGCCGTCGGCTCGGTCATCTGCTCGCACGTCCGCGCGCACGTCCGTGCCCGTCCGCACGCGGCCGTCCGCCTGGTTGTCCGCCCTTCGTCTGCGTGCTGTCGGAGTCGTGCCCTTTCGTCCGCCCCCGCTGGAGCGCTCTCCCGTCGGAGTCGTGCCCTTCCGCCCGCGCGGCCTGGTCGTCTCTGCTCAGCTGCGTGCCAGAGGAGGTGCCGGTGTTTTCTACTTCTCTGCGGTCTGCTCTGCTGAGGTCTGCTCTCCTGTTGGCTGTCTGCTCTGTTCTACTGCTGTGCTGTGGTGCCATTGGTCTCTTGGAATTACAGAGGTCTGTATCGGTGTTGCTTGTGGTGTGTTGGAACTCAGAATAATGGGTTCTGATATCACTGGATTTGTCTCTATAGCTGCTGCCTCTGATAATATTACTCCTCAGTCTTGGATTTTGGATTCAGGGGCTTCTTTCCATGTCACATCAAACAAGAATCACCTGATTGACTGCAAGCAAATTGTTAATGGTTCGACAATACACACAGCTGATGGTACATCTTGTCCTGTTACTCATGAGGGCATTTTTTCTTCTCCTCATTTTCATGTACCTGATATCTCTTTAGTCCCTCAACTATCCATGAATTTGTTATCTGTTGGACAAATAACTGATATGAACTGTTTTGTTGGTTTTGATGAATCATCATGTTTTATTCAAGACCGTGGCACTGGCCGTGTGATTGGGACCGGTCATCGTCATAGAGATTCTTCTAGCCTTTATGTTTTGGACAATTTACATCTCCCTTCCTCCTCTGCTCGTGTGTCATCAGCTGTGTCCCCATCCACCTCATGTTTTGCCAAATGGCATCATCGTCTTGGACACTTATGTGGATCTCGCTTGTCCACTCTTGTTCAACAAGGATGTTTGGGGCATGTTTCTGTTGACTCTACTTTTCATTGTAAGGGTTGCAAGCTTGGCAAACAGATACCCAGTGCAGAGAGCTCCCGCTCTGTGCGGGGTCTGGGGAAGGGTGTCAGTGGCAAGCCTTCCATATTCTTCTAGTGCGTCTCATTCTGTTAGACCATTTGACCTTATTCATTCAGATGTATGGGGTACTGCACCTTTTGCTACCAAGGGTAGTCACAAGTATTATGTTATTTTTATTGATGATCATTCTCGCTGCACATGGATTTATTTCATGAAACATCGATCTCAGTTGTATTCTATTTACCAATCCTTTGTTCGCATGGTTCATACACAGTTTTCTACTGCTATTAGAGTTTTTCGCTGACTCTGGTGGTGAGTATTTGTCTGATGCTTTTCGCCAATTTTTGTCCTCAGAAGGTACTCTTCCTCAGCTCTCGTGTCCTAGCGCTCACGCTCAAAACGGTGTTGCTGAACGTAAACATCGTCATCTCATAGAAACAGCTCGCACACTTTTGATTGCCTCCTTTGTTCCTTCACATTTCTGGGGAGAGACTGTTTCCACATCTGTTTATCTTATTAACAGACAACCATCATCTAAATTGTCTGGCAAGTGTCCTGGTGAAGTTCTTTTTGGAACTCCTCCAAGCTATGATCATCTTCGTGTTTTTGGATGCTTATGCTATGTTCTGCTTGCACCTCGTGAGCGAACTAAGCTGACTGCTCAGTCGGTTGAATGTGTTTTCCTGGGATATAGTCCTGAGCACAAGGGTTATCGTTGTTATGATCCTTCTTCCCGTCGCATGCATATCTCTCGTGATGTAACTTTTGTTGAGGACCGTCCTTTCTTTTATAGCTCCACTACAAAGTCATCATATGCTCCTACAGAGTCCACATCTTTTATGTCCCTTCCCCCTATTCCCATCAGGGATGATGTTGTTCCATCGTTTGTCTCCGCCATCCACCACTACTCTTGCACCTCCTCCACCCATTCATGTTCCTTCTCCACCTTCCCCATCCATTACAGTCATTCCTGATCCACCAACTCCGCCTCCCCCATCGCCTCCACCTCCGCCACCTCACTCTTTTTCCAAACCACCTATCACACAAGTTTTCCATCGTTGTCCCAAAGACCCTCCTGCTGTTCCATCTAGTTCCCCCACCCCCAACCTTGGTCAACCCTGATGAGCTCGATGTTGATGTTTCTAATAATAATATTGATGAGTTACATATGGCTTCTGATGAGTTACAGGTTGCACCACGATATAATCTTCGAGACCACAGTACTATTCATCCTGAAAAGAAGTATGGGTTCTCCCCATGTAGTCTTGTTTATTTCACTGTCACCAAACCTGATATTGCTCATGCGGTCCATATTTTGAGTCAGTTTGTGTGTGCCCCTACTTCAGTTCATTTTGGTCACTTACTTCGTGTGCTACGATACTTACGGGGGACATCATCTCGCTGTTTATTCTATGCTCGTGATTGTCCACTTCAGCTTCATGCTTACTCGGACTCCACTTGGGCAAGTGACCCGACAGATCGTCGTTCCATAACTGGGTATTGTATTCTTCTTGGCTCTTCTCCTATTGCCTGGAAGTCCAAGAAACAAGCCGTTGTATCTCGTTCTAGTAGAGAGGCCGAACTTCGAGCACTTGCCACTACTACTGCAGAAATTGTATGGCTTCGATGGTTGTTGGCTGATTTTGGGATTTCTTGTGCTGCCGCCACACCTCTTCTTTGTGATAACACTGGAGCCATCTAGATTGCCAATGATCCTGTGAAGCACGAACTTACAAAGCATATTGGTGTTGATGCCTTCTTTACTCGGTCTCATTGTCATCAACACACCATTGATCTATAGTATGTGCCCTCAGAGCTGCAATTGGCTGACTTCTTCACTAAGGCACAAACTCGAGAGCAGCATCAACTGCACTTGCTCAAACTCAATGCTTCAGATCCTCCGCTTCCACCTTGAGTTTGAAGGGGGGTGTTAAGACTCATCTACTGTAGGCCCATATGGCCCATGAGGCTCTATATATATACATAGCTATCCCTCTATTGGGACTATCTTCTGAGATCCCCAAGGTTAGTAACAAATAGTATGTGGCCCTAATTCTATTCAATGCCTATGCTTTATATGCAGAATCAAACCTTTGGATTCTACAGTATCTGCTCCAAAGGCAAAAAAACAAATTTCTGGGAAAAATGCAAACAGAAAAATATAATGAGCTTGAACAAAGCACATATTGGCTGCAATCTAGATTGAGTAAAACAAAAACACAAGCATATGATTTTGTAACACATAAAAAAATAGACATAAATTTGATAAGGAAAGAGTGGAAAGCTACCATACTTTCATGGAGGTATTCCTAGGATACAATTGAGCCCTCTTGAGAAGAATTGCAGGAAATGATGTGTAAGACTGTAGCACATGTATAATGAGGTTCACCATCCATCCAATATATCCAAGGGTAATTGTAGTCATTAACATGAACCAATCATATGTTTGGAAATAATGAAGACCAGCAAGAGCCAGCCTTCGGAGCTCCTCAGATTGCTCCATGGCAGTTTCATAGTCCCTTCCAGATATAAGATCCTCAATCTGACTGAGCACTAGAGAAAAGTTTGCCAGTGGCTTAAAAGGTTTGAAGTAGAGTGAACTGGATTCCTTCAGCTCTGAGATCGATAAGGGAAGACATGCTTAGGAGTAACAGTATGATTTATTGTTTAATTTGGTCGTCTTGGTCATCATAAATTTGCATTAGGAAAAAAAAATGGAAATTGAATGGCACGATGAGATTCATCAGCCTACTGCTATGGGTGACTCCAATAATAGATCAACAATGATGCCTCTAGCACCCATTCACACTACCACACTACAAGCTTATAAGCATGGAGTAGGAAAATTTTGAAGTTCAAGTATGTAGCAAAAATTGTTTTGAAAGGATACGTGACTTTCGGAGAAACTGGTTAAGAATTTGCTTTGTATTGGCCAGAACAGCTTCAACTTCATCAGCCTGTATAAATATAGGGAATAAACTTTAACAAGCAGTGTTGAGCCAAGCGCAATAGAATTTTTGCATAGAGTACAGTTATTGTCAGACCTTGCTTAGTTTCAAATAAGGAGTAGGTAAGCTCCCCACAGAGTTCATCGGGCATGGCAAACCCACAAGTGTAGCCTGCAAAAGTTGTGAAAATTTGAGAAAAGAAAAAGGGTTTACTTAAGAAAACTATATGGAACTGAAGAACTGAATATATCGTTGCACATGGAGATTTTCAAGCCACCATTAGGGGAGCTATGTCAGCCTGGTTGACATCTACTCTTTCAAAGCCTTCAAGGGCCCAGTCTTTTGGAGTGGGTGTATCATGTTTGTGGTCATCTACAAACCGAAAGCCATCATCAGGTTTCTCTGTATAAGCCAGGAACTTTGGGCTTCTAATTCCAGCACCCCATGCTACAAGAGGAGTATCTGTATTTGAAGGGTGTCCGTCTCCATGGCTTCCTGTAGGTAGCAGTGCTTTATCAGGCATCATAATAAAGGAGTAATATATAGTACTAACCTAATAGTAATATACTACCAAGTTAACCAATAAAAATGAAGCCTTTGCAATTAGTAATAGCCTAATGGGTCAACAACCCTCATCCTTGTGATCGACCCAAGACAGCATTGCATAAACCATAAAGTGCAAGTGTGCAACTAAATTTAGTGAGCTAGAAAGCATTACATGCCAGGATTGGATTTGTCAATACAACTAAAGAATGTCGCTGCCTTAGGCGCTACGGAGCATAACATGAGTAACCTTGTAGGTAGGTAATGCAACTAATCCATAACTGCAACCAATAAGCCATTCATTTTGGGAAGCTGCTGATTAGGGGATACTTTCCACATCTATATTGCACAGTTTTGCAGAGGAATAGTCTTTTTTTTATTTCTGTATTTTTGCTAAGGTGTGAAGAGATTTTTTTTCGCAAACGTGCCCATGCGCGTGTTTCATTAAGAGGGAAGAGTTTTACAGCACTTTGGCAGCCACAGGCGAGATACCCGGAATTACCAAAGAGGTGGAGAGAACACAAAATCAGGCCAGGCAGACATACAGACGTATACTTATAGCAATTACATGGTACTAAAATTTGCGACGAAACACCGAAGGGCTAGCTCATCCATCCACCCAGGCTAAGAGGACCGACGGGGCCTCGTACCCACACTGCAACCCAGTCATTTCCCCCATTGACGATCGTCATTGTCAAGGTGGGAAGAGATAGATGTGGGGAATGGTATTATGGTAGTATTCAAATCTAATTTAACTCCCAAAGTTTCAAGCTCATCAGTTTTACAGTTTCCTGGTGGTGACAACTGAGATGCCACACTCTCCCAGAAAAACATAACCAGCCAGTTGCCTCCGACATCCTGGACCCTGGCAAGGAATCTAGTCTAGCTCTAAAAACTATATAAACATGAGCAGCAAAAAAAATATTTGTGAAACCATTTGGTGTATAACTTACCTTTGTCACTCATTCCATGATCTGCAGTAAACACATATGCTGTTTGATTGTCATTGAAGTAGTTCTCCATGAGATTGTACATACTTTCAGCTATTTGATCAACAACCTTGACATTGTTCAGATAGATGCTTGAATAGGGTCGGTGTGCATGGCCATTGGTATCACAACCCAGCAAGTGCAGAAATATAACCAACTTATCTTGTAGGAGTAACTGCCTCAATTTAACATCGTCAAAAGACCTGTTGATAAGACCTTGAAACTGGTCAAATGACCAATGATCCAGAAATGATGCATCTGCAATCAAGGTCTCTGACAAAGTAAAAACCATGATTCCAAAAGGAAAATAAATTGCAAAAGCAGAGGATTGATTATTTAGACTCTGTGATGTTGAGTCGATAATGTTTTCTTTGAAGAGGGGCACATCCTTCATGTATTTAAAGAGGAAACAGACTTATTTATACAATTTGCCTCAGAACAGATTTATTAGGCCTTGTTTAGATTGCAAATTTTTGCAATCTAGACACTGTAGCACGTTTCGTTTGTATTTGACAAACTTTGTCCGATCATGGACTAACTAGGCTCAAAAAATTCGTCTCGTGATTTACAACCAAACTGTGTAATTAGTTTTTTTTTTACCTACATTTAATGCTCCATGCATGCGTCCAAAAATTGATGTGATGGAAAGAGAGTGAAAAACCTTGGAATTTTGAGGCAATCTAAGCAAGGCCTTAGTTACGAATTAACCTGCACATCTGTAAAATCATTATAGTAGTTGTGATTTGTGGTAAAAAAAAGCTCAGACCAAGAGTAAGAAAATAATTTCAAAGATAATTTATATATATAATCCTTCTGCAGGATGAACTTTTAGACTAATATCAATATTTCAGGAAGAAAGGATGTGCAGTATGAGAAATCACAAAGTTATCTAGTCCATCGAGAAAAAAACAATGTGATTCCATGAATACGACAGTACTGGTAAGGCAGTTACAAAAATACAATATCATAATAATGACTTAAGCTTCAGGAAGCTACATGTACTGCCAATAAATCTGACCTGTTGCAAAGTCTTCATATTCATGGGGATAAGTGCCCCAGGTACTGTGAGGTAGGTTACTGCAGAATATAGGAACAATATCTGGACTTCCAAATGAGATAGTGTGCCGACTCTGATTGAATACAGAATCAAACTCAACAGGATTGGCCTTCCATCCTGCCAAATACAATACTCACTATTTCAGCATATAACACTTGTTTAATTTAACTAAGCAATATTAACCATGTGCAGGATGTCAGTTATACACATTTCTCTCAGCTATAAAATACTGGCACTAAGCACTATAATTCAGTACACGTTTTTTGGTTAACAACCATGAGGGTATGAGTACCGCTAATACTAGTTCAGTAGCAACAACTACTAAAAATGGCAAAGCAATGCAATTACACATTAAAAGTGCAGCATACTTGAAAATTAAAGTAAACTGAAAGACTTGTGAAAACATTGCATCAAATTGAATCACGAACAGTCTGCAGTGGTACACTAGAACTAGCACCGGGGCAGCGCACCTTTGGTGACAGCACTGGGGTCCTCGTAGAAGCCAGCGATGAGGGAGACATGACCGGGCCTGGACTCGGTGGGCGGGCGCGCGTGGCTGACACCCCACCGTCCCTTCTCCTCGATCACGCCGCGCAGGAACGGCGCTCTGTATCTCCCCCGCTCGTCCGGCTCGAAGAACTTGTCCGCCCTGAGCCCGTCCGCTGCACGCACCAAAAGCCCCCAGCCAAATTACACACCCAACATCGAGCCGAAGCTTAATGAGACGGGATCGGAGGATCAAGGGGACACACCGACGAGGAGGACGAGGCGCTTGGCGGGGGCCGCCGAGAGGCGGGGCGGCACGGGATCCATGCCGTGCACGATGGGGGACTTGAAGTAGATGTCGAAGATGCTGAGCATGTACACGGCATGGAGCGCGACGCCGAGTACGACCAGCCACCGCTCGCGCCGCCGCGTGGAGGCGGACGGCGAGTGCAGCTCCGTCTGCTGGCGCGGGCGGCCGGCCATCGCGAGTGACGGAGCGCCGACCGAGCCGTGGAGGTGGGCGGTGGTGGATCTCGGTTCTGGAGGGAAGGGCTGGAGCTGGGGCGAGCGCGAAGGCGAATGCGTCGTAAAGACTGACGGATTGACAGGACCGGACACGCCTGGAGTGGGTGCACGGATCCAGAGTTTTATCAAACAGCAAAGTGCATAGCCGGTCCTTATAGACGTGTCACTGTCACACCGGCTGGTGTGGCCACGACCAGTGAAGAACGCTGAAGGAAGAAGCCTTTAGGAGAAGACGTATCCGTGTGGCTTAGCGTATTTATGTATTACGTTTTCTTTCATGAACTGTCGTGTGGGACCATGTGGTCATATACTGTATCAAGCACATAAGTGATGAACCCTGTACCGGGGGAGAGACATCGTGAACTCTAATATCAGAAAGCTAAGGCAGAGGGGTTAACCCTGCCCGCTTCTTCGTATCTGTGTATTCGTCTTGATCGCTCACGTCGACGGCGACTCGCCGGCGGCCAGGGGTGTGACAGTTGGTACCAGAGCTATCGTATCCTCGGCGTGGGTAGGGAGTGCTTCAGCTCTCCACCGGCGCTAGTTATCTTCCCCTTCACCGACGACCGGCGGCGGATCCAGCGGCCGACACCACCACCGACCTCACCACCACCATCGCCACCACCATCACCAAGGAGCTCACCTCATCATGGTACGCCCTACTCCGCTCGCTTTGATCTACAGCTCGTAATTCCGGTGGGCAGGTGATTTCGGTTAACGCCCTTGAGGTGTTCGACCTGAGATCCCAGAGGTCCCTCCTTAGGTTGAGTTGGGTCAGTGACGACATAGGTGGTACCAATCTTGACTCCTTGATCATGTCGCCACTCCTACCCGCATCCACCACATAAACCCACCACCAGACCCCAATCACCCACCCTTCTTCCCCAGCTACGGCTCCATTGTTCGGCTGGGGACTCCACCAACACTCATCAGTTTGGAGGCGGCAACCACTGTGAGTTCATACCATTCTAGCACGATTGATCGCTTGACAAGGGTTGCCGGGCGCCTGTCCCTGCGTAAAATTCCGTAGTCAAGGCTATTAAGTCGGTGCGGTGGCGTTGGAGGGGGAGTGTCCACGAGCTTGGGTTGCAAGACTCTTGTTCTTGTGTAAAATCCCTCGGCTCTGCCTCACTCCCAGGCGGCGGTGATAGTACTAAGCACGCAGAAGGGGAGGCATCGTCCAAGCCTATTGCTTGTACTACCCTATTCTCTGTTCTTTGTCCACTTGTCATCACGGCTCCACCAAAACCTTCCAAGCAAACACAGATTCTGCTGGACAACATGTCCAAGAGTATAGAGGAGGAGAAAACTTGCTGGGATCAGGTGATGGAGAACTTCGACTTGCTCTTCTCTCAAGTCAATGAAATTGGAGTAGTCCAGCAACAAATGAAATCCCAGATGGATATTCGTGGTGCTGCCATGGACCAATATTCAGCTGAGCAACACATGATAGCCCAGCAGGTTAAGGCAAATGGGGCAGCAGTAGCTCAACTCACCATGCAGCAGTTTGAGAGGGAACCCAAATTTGAGGATGATAGCCTAGGATCTACTGTTGATGAAGAGGCTGAGCCCTTTCACAATGTGTTTGCCAAGTACAAGGGAACCCACAAGCCTGAACCTTCTAGGAAAAGAAAGCCTACATCCAAGTTTGATAGGACAACTTCTCTACCTACCCAATCCATGCCAAAAATGCAATTTCCCAAGTTTGATGGTGCCAACCCAAAGGTTTGGAGGGATAATTGTGAGAGTTATTTTGAACTATATCAACTACCTGAAGGTATGTGGATAACTGCAGCTCATCTTCATTTTGAGGGTAATGCAGCTAAATGGTACCAGGCATACAAACAGACTCACCGTTTCAGTAGTTGGGATCACTTTTGCTCAGTGGTAGAAGAGGAGTTTGGCTCAGATGATTTCAGAAGTGCCATGAATGACTTGCTCGAACTGAAACATACAGGAACTGTTGAGGAATATACTACTCAGTTCCACAATCTCCAATTTGACATTACCATGCACAATCCACACTATGATGAGATGTTCTTTACACCACAATATGTGAGGGGATTGAAGGATGAAATTCGAAGCATGGTAGAGCCCCAAATGCCCACTACAGTGCAGAAAGCATATATACTGGCTAAGATTCAGCAGAAACTAGTGGAGAGAAACAAAGGCAAATACAATAGAGTTCTACAACAATTCAGACCATATACACCAGTCAAGACTGACACCAAGCCCCAAGCTCAATCCAGTACCCTATGGAAAGACAGACAACTTAGGGACTACAGAAAAGCAAATGGTTTATGCTTTAACTGTGGTGAGAAATTTGTTCCTGGACATTTGGAGGTATGTCCCAAAAGAAACAAACCTCAGGCACATGCTCTTGCTCTCAATGACTTGGATAGGGAACTTTCTGATGAAGTTCTCAATGACTTGGCAATAGAGGATCAGTTACAGGAAGAATTTGGTCAATTGTCACTCAATGCACTTTCTAGTCAAGATCATACTAACTGTATCAAACTCAAAACAAGAGTCAAAGATAAAGTGATGTTGATCCTGGTGGACAGTGGCAGTACCCACAGTTTCATTAATTCTCAGTTTGTCCAGTTAGCAAACCTCAACATCATGCCTATCACACCAAAGAAAGTCAAGGTAGCAAATGGCAACTGGATTGTTACTAATAGGGTAGTACCTCAACTGCAGTGTTACTGTCAAGGCCAAACATTTGAAGTTGATATGGTGGTATTAGACATGGACCCATATGATGCAATCCTAGGATTTGATTGGCTATAGGCTCACAGTCCTATGAAATGTGACTGGAAAAACAAAACAATCAGATTTTCAGAGAAAGAGAGAATCATCCAACTTTAAGGGTTGCAAGATCCACCTTTGCAAATGTCTGCTATATCAGCACAGAAGACCTACAATGTTACCAAAGGCAATGATGTCTAGGCATTTGTGCTGTTAGATCATGCACCACCACCATCTCTATCCCTTACAGCAGTCACCACTCTACCAACAGAGATCACAAAGCTGCTACACTCCTACAGTGATGTCTTTCATGATCCTAAGGTCTTACCACCTCAACGTACTTATGATCATGCAATTCCCCTGTTACCAGGGGCAGCCCCAATCAACTCTAGACCATACCATTATTCACCTATGCATAAGACTGAAATGGAAAATCAAGTTCAGCGGTTACTGCAAGCAGGACTCATTACTCACAGTCACAGTCCTTTTGCTTCACCAGTTCTCTTAGTAAAAAAAAGATGGCTCTTGGAGATTCTGTGTGGATTACAAAAAGTTGAATGACATCACTATTAAGAACAGATTTCCCATGCCTGTGATTGAAGAAATTTTGGATGAGTTGGCAGGTGCCCAATATTTCACCAAGTTGGATCTGAGATCAGGTTATCATCAAGTGAGGATGCTACCTGAAGATGAGTACAAAATAGCTTTTAAAACTCATCACGGGCATTATCAATTCAAAGTCATGCCCTTCGGCTTGACTAATGCTCCAGCCACTTTTCAATGTGTAATGAATCAGATTCTCCAACCTTATCTCAGAAAATTTGTTCTAGTATTTCTAGATGACATACTCATCTATAGCAAAACATTGGAGGACCATCAAGAACATCTACAAAGAAGTCTTGGAAACTTTAAGGCAACACCAAATTGTATCTCAAGGAATCTAAATGCATTTTTGCCCAGTCCGACCTTAGAGTACTTAGGCCATGTCATATCTCAAGACAGGTGTGTCCACCGCCTGCATAAGATCAAGGCAATGCTTCATTGGCGATTACTCGCTACAATGACCGACTTGAGGGCCTTTTTGGGGTTGACTCAGCTATTACGAAAAATTTGTGAAACATTATGGTCAAATCACTAAACCCTTGACATATATCTTAAGATCAAAACATTTCTTGTGGACTCCTTTAGCTTAAGCTGCTTTTGACAACTTAAAGATAGCTATGACAACAACTCCAATTCTTGCCTGCGCTGCACTTCCAGAAACCTTCACTGTCGAGATCGATGCATGTCAAGATGGCATAGGTGCAAGTGTTGATGCAAAAAGGTCACCCCATAGCCTTTCTCAAAGAAAGCTCTTGGGGAGAAACACAAAACACTGTCCATCTATGAAAAGGAATTCTTAGCATTGATCATGGTAGTTGAAAGATGGAGGCATTATCTACAAAGAAATGAATTTATCATCCAAACTGACCATAAGTCTCTGGCATATCTCAAAGAACAGAACTTGCATTCAGACATGCAGAGAAAGGCAATGGCCAGACTTATGGGGTTGCACTTTAAAATCATATATAGGAAAGGGAAAGAGAATGTAGCAGCTGATGCTTTATCGAGGGTAGATCACATGATGGCTGTCCAGGCAGTTTCTTGTGTTCAACCTACCTGGATACAAGAGGTCCTCAACTCTTACACAACGGACTCTCAAGCACAGCAAATCTTGCAGCGACTGTCTATTGTCAGTCCAAATCAACAAGGATACAGTCTCCACCAAGGTCTTATATGGCACCATGACAAGATTTGGATTGGGCAGAATTCTGCTTTGCAAACCAAAATCATTGCTGCCTGCCACTCTAGTGCTCTGGGAGGTCATTCTGGTATTGCAGCCACCTATTCCAGAATGAAGAAACACTTTACCTGGAAAGGGATGAAAATGGATGTGGAAAATTTTGTTAAATAGTGCAGTATCTGTCAGCATGCCAAACATTCTCTTCAACACCCAATGGGTCTTCTGCAACCACTGCCAATACCAGCAGGAGTATGGCAAGATCTCACTATGGATTTCATTGAGGGCCTTCCCAAGTCCGAAGGATACAGTGTGATTTTGGTAGTGGTGGATAGGTTGACTAATTATGCTCACTTCTTACCCATCAGACATCCTTATACTGCTCTAATGGTTGCTCAAACCTTCCTAGATACTATGGTTAAGCTACATG